GTTCCCGCTGCCCCCGGCACCGCCGGATCTGTGCCTCGCCTTAGGCAGTAAAACCTCGGCAGTGTCACTCCGTGCTTCCCCACACCTTGTGTTCTTCATCTGCTTCCCCCCAGCGCTAGGGCTGGGGGAGATCTGCTCTCCTCTTTGTTACAGATATGCTAAGTATCCCTTAAATTATATGTCTCCTGCCTAGGAACACATCCATAATATAAATACTGAACTCTCATATGTATGCTCTCAAGAGTTATTATGCTACACTTATAGACGTTGTGTTAAAGTAGATAACGTGTATTTTTAGTATAATCTAAAAATCCATAAGCTAAAGGCATTGCCTTGCAGTGTTGAATATGGATAAACAATTCTTAATAGGGCACTGTCATGAAAATACCAATGCTTATAATGGCATCTTTTAGTCAGCTTTTTGTCAGAACCTGCTGGTGTGTGATCTAGTGATACAGCTATATCAAGAGTTGTGGTATTTTACTGGTTTTAGTGGTTATCATAACAGGGAGATAATTTCAGTACTGAACAAAATGTTTGATAGCAATATCTTAGTTTCAGGGAGAAAATAAAATAAGGTTTTCTCTTATCTTCATCTAAGAGGGTTTTTCTACATGTTGTTTAGCTAGATGTGAACCATCTAGGTGATTTTTTTTTGTTCCTGTACTATTAAGTGCTCAAGAGCAAAAAATAGATCTGGTCTAAAATGCTCCTCTTTCAAAATTACTCATGCTTGAAACAAACTATTGAGATTAATCCTAGAGGTCAAGCTTAGAAAATCCACCCCTAGATTTGCTTGTGTATTTTCTTATTTGTATGGACAGATTAGTATCTTTGTTGAGAGAATTTTTCTCTAAGTTAATTTGTGAATCTCTGCAAAAGAATGTGTTTGCATTTGAAAATGCTAAAACTGCATATCTTCACTGAGGCAACTGAACTGTTTATTAGTGTTACTCTCAATAATATTATTTTCAGCTATTTTAGTTGGAGTTGCTAGCTGGGCAAAAGTAGTTTCCACGTGATTAATTTAGTTAATTCTATTTTAGCATTACACAGCACTTTTCATCCAGTGATGCCAAAACACTTAAGAGATATTAAGTAAACCTCACAACTCTCCTGTGAGGTAGGTATGCTAAAGTATTATTACCCCCTTTTTGCAGTTGGGGAAACTGAGATCCAGAAGGATCTTGTGACTTGCCCAAAATCAGGGAGCTATGGGAGAGTTGTGGTCAGAAGCCAGGAGTCAGGATGCTTATCCATTGCTATGAGCAGCAGGCTGGGTCACTCAGGCTGCCCATAAATAATAGAGTTTTCAAGACATGTACCTGCCACTCCCACCAAACAAGCAGATGCAATTTTGCCCTGCTTATAGCAAAGCAGGGAAATGACAAGAGCTGGACCCTGCAGCAGATTTGTCAGGAGCTTCATGTTCCCTAGGTGAATACTCATGATAAGTTCTCTACTTTCTTTATAAGAGCTTGTCTTGACATACTGGTAACATCCTGCTATCACTTGGCATAAACCCCCCACTTTCTTTGCATTACAGAGCTAGTCCTCAGAACACATTTAGTTCACATCAAGTTATTTAGGATTTAAAGTATTTTCTCTAAGTATCATTCACACAAATCAATCTCCCTAAAGGAAACTTCATAAAAATGTAAATTGCTGATGTAAACCCCCCTCCCCCCCAACCTCAAACATTATTCCTCTAATTTTTTAATGAATGCTACAAATTAATTGCTTGTTGAGTCCTTTTGCCAATGTACTCTCACGTAGACGTACAATCAGGATACTGTCTCGAGGTACTTTCAGTTTGCCAATCCCTGACAAGATATTCTTTGCAGCAGGCTGTCCCTGTGCAAAGTTCTACCTGAAATGGGGCAATGAAATATAATTCCTAAATTTCTCCCCAGGTATGTAGGTCTTCTTCAGGAAGACATAAAGAAAGGGGGTTATATAGAGTGTTCTCCATGCCTTAAAACACCCCCATGGCTAACATGTTTCATATAATTACAAATTTCTATAGTAGAAAACAGGACATAAAAATATTTCCAGCAAGTGGCTTTTAAAATACTATAAATAGTAAGTTTGGCTAATCTTTTAGTTAAGGATATTGGGGTCAGTTTGAAGTATTCTTATCCCCTTATTCATAGTAAATTTAGTGTGCCTGTAGCCTAATGAACATGTCATGCACGTAGAAGGGGCCATGTTAGTGGGATTATATGACAAGAGAAGGATCTGGTAGTTGCATTTGCAAGCCAATTTTGTCTCCTACAAAAACCTCTTGGAATCTTATGGCATTCCCTTCCTACCCAACCCACACCCCTCAAACAATTATTCACTTTTTTTTTCATGTCCTGCAAAAATTGTTTTGCCTAAGCCCTGCCCAAGAGAAACAAATAGAAAAAAGTCCAAGAAATCAGCAGCACAAACTCTTAAGACTTTCTAAAACTGGGAAAGCAGTAATTCCCCTTTTATGCTGTGGCTTGTTTCATCTCCCTTTGTCTTGTCATATAATAAGAACAGTGTTCATATTGTGGGTGAGTGCTTACGATTAGTGGCCCCACAGTTACTGAACCTCTGCAAAAGCCATACATGTAACAAATATTCCTTGTGAATATTATTCCTTGCCTTTTGAAAAGTACTTCATTTCACCTGGCTGTGATATAGGGTCTGTGTAAACAATCAGCAGAACCTGTAACTGTAGTTCTGTTGTGAACATCATCAGTAACACCTTATGTGTGTACATATATACATTTACATATATATGTATACAAATCATAGTCCTGTAAATACCTATTGCATGCATGCACATGCACAGGAGAAATGTTACATTCTATTAATGGTAAGGCATATTATTAGATAGGCAATATTGGCAATTATTTTAGCTTTTATCTTGATCTGTTGTGCTGCTGTTGATGGCATGCTGCCAGAGAATCTCTCAGGATGATGGGGATGGGAAGAGGCCACGGTGAAGGTTTATTGCACACGGCGGCAGTAGTAGCCCAAGACTTTGCACTTCTCACACAGGTGCTGGGGGTGTTCTTTGCTCTGGTCTGACACATCCAGGCCATCCGGCTTTTCCAGGGGTCTCTGCAGTGGTGGGAAGGAAATCAGGTTATATCCAAGGTTTTTTCCTTGGTACTCTTTATGCAGCATGTGAAGTCTACTGTTAGGCCCTAACTGAGCTTTCTACTGGTAATTAAAAAGGTGCCATGTTCCTTTCCTGAAGGTCTGGAGTGATTTTTTCAGCCCTTCAGCTCTACGTTGGTTCAGAGTGACCTCACAATTCAATGTCATTCTTCATAAAGGTGCTGTTAACTTTGTTGCAGACAAATCACAAAAATACTGAATTGAGGACTTCATTTCTAAAAAGCAGTAACAAAAGAGTTCATTTGCTTAGCTCCAGTAACTTAGATGTCCCAAAGGCACTAACAGCTAAAGCCTGGGAATCCCATTACCCAGCAATGCAGAGCAGGGATTATCAGTGCTAGGACTAGCTGCTACATGAAGAAAACTGTCATACTATGCACAGATATTACATAGCTAAATGGTGCTTTCCCAATAAGTAGTCCCATGGTTTTGAGGCTGAAAGTTTTGAAGCAGAGCAGCTGCAAAGCTTTTAATAAAATTTTAAAAAATTCCAAACTTAAACAAAAACAAAGCAAAATCCAACATCATGACACAATCCTTTGCACTGAATCTGAGTAATAAATTATGTACTTTTAATAATATTCATGAAATCAGCATGTTGGAGGAAATGAAGCTGATTCATAGTTATTAGGTATTTGTGCTTTCACTTTTCATGGCATGTAAAAGGCCTCACAGTCATTCTGAAAATAAAATACCCAAGTTAAATATTGTGACAAAGTCAAAGGTTTGGGAAGTCTGGTAGGTAGGGAAGTGATAGAGATGTGAGGTAGAAGTTAATAAAGTGTACCATTTGCTTGGAAAACACTCCCAAATTCCCTAACCCATAATTGATCTGTTTTCATGAAATGTATCTGAAAGGCTGTTTCATTGCACAGTGCCATGAAGGCAGCAGTTCTTCATGGGACTGTGGTAGACACAGCATGTGATGTGAAATCTGAAAACTAGCAAGCTTCTCACTGTTTTTACAGGGATATTAGACCCTTGCTTATATCTTCAAAATGTGATTCTTGGAGCAGTGGGTGAGTAAATAAAAATTACACCATCTTGGCCATTTATGTCTTAACACCTCTCTTAATCTTAAAGACTTTTCTTTACCTGTAAGGTCTTAAAGTACACCTGATCATTTAAGATTTCATTTGTAAGTTCTTTGTCAAGCCACCTACCTGAAACTCTGTGGACAGGAACAGAGATATTCAAAGCTCTTTTTTTGGCTATGTAATACTGCAAGAACTGCTCATAAATCGGGGAGTAGAAGGGTTTCTCTCTCTGAATAGCTAAAATGATGCAAAACATATTGTATTTTTTTGAACAAGGGATGTCAGTGAATTCTTGCTTGCTTGTACTGGATTTTAGATGCAACACTCTTATGTTGCACATCTAGGCAGAACAATATATAGGAGTGATTCAGTAGTGATTGGCAATAGTTTGTTTCTGAATCAGTGTTTTGAACCATGATATTGTCCTGCACCGTGTAGGTCTTTGAGTCTAACTTTATTTACATTTCAACTGCAAAGTGGATTTCCTGTTTCAGATGAGGAAAGTAGATGCACTCTTTATGTCTGAATGCCCTGCAACCCTACTGAGCTTTAAACATTTCATGTCACTATGTTGAGATTTGAGATCAGAACCAGCAATTCTGTTCCTAAGTTTGCAGTCCAAGCACTGGTCCAGATGCTGCTTATTCCACAAGACAGGCAAGTTGAATAAGTGTGCTTGGTCAGAAAACTGCCTTTCTACCTCATCTACCACTTATTCCACCAACATCTGCCCACAAATATTCTTCAAGAATTTGCATTACATAAATATACAAAGATGAAGCGCAGGTTCTGGAGTCCCAGGGGTTAATTTACACTCTTGAACAGCGAATGAGAGTTTTGAAATGCTACACTCGAAACAGGCTATTGTCAAATAGCTCTGATTGCTTCTACATGCTAGCTGTGCTCTGATTAAAGAGAAAAATACAGCAGTTATCATGTTTATTGATATAAGCCAGATTTTTTTTTTTTAATATGCAAGGCCTTGGGAATCATTTTTCCTGGAAATAGTGCAAAGGACATTGGGAATGCCTAGAAGCGCCAAGAGTTTTTGGATGGTTTTCAGAAACAATAGCTCTCCGTAGTTTGCTTTCCCCCAGCGTTGATTGAGCTCAGCTTTTTGGCCTGCAAAGCATTTTGATTTCAGAACTGTTATTGTTACCAGTATGTTACGACACAGGCTGGGGAGAGAGGGGTTACAAATGCAGGAAAGCAGGTTGCCAAGGGCCAGCTGGAAGGCACGAAGCTGTGCAGAGCCCAGGCTGCACTTCTGGTGAGGTGGTGGAGGGCTGAGGCTTTGAAATTGGTAGTGTACTTGTGTGGTTTGTGTCTCAAAACCATTTCAACCCAACTTTTGCATAAAATGAAATCCCACTTCATCTCCATTTGCCGTTTTCTCTTCATGGGTTTCTTGCACCCTGAGTATCAAGTGTTCTTGTCCTGCTGCTGTCAGTTACTAATTGAGGAGAACCTAAAAGTAATAACCTTATACTCCTGGGCCTTTTCTTACACCATGCCAAAAGTGTAGGATGTTAGTCACGGAGCTGTGTGTCCATCAGGGCTGGGCTCATCCCCAGCTCTGGTGTGATGGAAGGAGAGGGCACTGGCACAGGAGTGTGCAGCAGGGCCTGGCTGTTGCACGCTGTGTCAGCTCTGGGGCTGCCCGAGCTCTGCAGGAGGCACCAGGAACTGAGGAGGCTGCAAGAGCCCTGCACTGCCTCCGAGCACTCAGCCATGCACTTGGACAGGGTGTGGAGAAGGGGACAGGCTATTTGGCTGAAAAGTTAACTCTTTTTCTTAGAAAGCAGTGAAATGGGGCTTGTAGAACAACAGTAAATCCTGCTATGTTCCTTAGGGGAAAGGTATCCTTTTTTCCATTAAATGGAGACTTTAACTGTAAAAGCATCCGTAGTTGTGTTCTTCCGGACTTCACTTTTGTGCATCTTTGTTTAATTTTCTCCTGGTAGTTGCAGGGTGGAAATAATCTTGTGCAGCTCCACCAGGAAAGCATTTGGTGGTGGTGAATAAAGATATTGCCGCAGGGGAATGAAGCTGACAGAAATTCATATTTATATATCAATTCCTGACCTGCAAATTAACTTTTGACTATGAGTTAATGCTGTTCCAGTCTAGATGTACTGCATGACCTGTGCATTCCCCAACAGTCAGCTGAAACCCCAAAGATCTCAAACAAAAAACTCACCCTTATGAAGTGTTAGGTGTTAAAGAAAGCATCACTAGGACATCCTGAGGGAAATTGCTTCCACTAAGGTGTAGAATGGAATAATGTGCCTGTTTCTGTTTGTATTTTCTGCTGTGGAATGGAACAATTTAATTGCACCACTGATGGATAGAGGATCACATCAGAATTCAAATGAGAGAAAACACTTAAAAATAATTTTCTGGACTCATTTACATCAAATCTTAATGCAGCAAATGTGATGATTAAATGTCAGATTAGGAATGTGAATAGAAAGATTCTGCAGCTATTGCTGGCAGGATAATTGTTAGGTTAACAGTCTTAAGGAGCCATGCTTCTCTCAAGAAACATATGATATTGTGAATTTGTAACTTTTTAGTCCAATAAAAAAATTGGGCCCTGGGGAAGAAAAGATTAAGTGCAATGTCCATTCTTAAGCAGCAGCCCCTCTGCTTTTCTATCTGCCTGGGGGAAGAGAGACATGACCAAGGCCCTGGGCTGTCGCCGTGAATCCAAGAGACAGTGATAAGAAGGCAACAGATCAGAGGCAGGATGCTTAAAGAGAGCAAGCAGGCTCTGTCAGCAGCATGCCTCTGGGACAGGCCAGCTAGGAATGAATGATAACAGCATGAGGGAAATGGTGAAAATCTCTTTTTTAAGAATTCAGAAAAGCAGCAGTCTGAGGTGAAGTGTATTCCCATAGCTGGAGTACACAAGCGTGGGCATGCTGGGGAGGGTTTATTAAATCTAAAGAGTCAAAAGATCATACTTGTAGGCTTCAAGCTGCTGAAAAGTTTATTGGGCTTGAGTGATCATACCCACCCCTCCCCATTACTGAGGGAAGCAAGGTGGCTGTGGTTGCACTCAGATATGGGAATTATGATGAGACCACTGAATTGCCCATGAAAGTAATAACTTGAGTATCATGAGGTATGTATTTACATACCAAATTATTTCCAGTCCAACAGTAAATTCCTGACAGCTGGAAGAAAATAGTGTCCAAGAGGACAAGTCAGTCACCAGATGGCTGGTTCTGCACCAGTGCAACAGCTGTCATCACAAACAGCACTGGCCTTAGCCACAGAGTCGGAGAAGAAGCCTTGATAAGAGGCCAGCCAGGAAATAACCACGGGCGCAGATGTTGCTGCTATAGTAGGCAGGGGAAGAAAATGAGAATTCAGAGCTTGGCATCTGGGCTGTTACACTGCCAAGCATGCTGATGAATGACTATAAGGACTGGCTCTGTTGCTGAAGCAGGGTAAGAAGGAGCATAAACAACCACAAAATCCAAATTCCTTGGAAGAACAGGAGAGGTTTAAGTCTGAGATTCCTGTTTATGTTTAGAGTAGCTAAAGTAACTACCTGGGAAACAACTTCTGAAATTGCTATAGAGCAAATTTGTCTGGATAGCTCTTTAAGTTCCAGTAAGGCTTGAGCTCAGTGGGCCTATGGTTTTTGCTCCATGTTCTGTGCATTCCTGTAAGCACTCCCATGGGAAGGTTTGTCACTTGAGGGAGTGAGGTGAAAATGCAGAAATAGGAACAGAGTGGAATAATTTAGCAAAGCTTGGTTGAGGAGCAGTTTTGCAGCTCAGGTGTGACAATCACCTGATTCCCTACCTGGTGGATGAGCTGGGGAATGAATGTCAGCAGCCCTCCTGTCAGGCCCCTGTGTTACCTCTTGGAATACATGCTCCACCATCTCTTTTAAATACAGAGATTTAGAGCTGTATTTTTAGAGCACTCTAAAGTATATACAGCTGTACAAGTGCTGAGAAGACTTTTCCTGCCCTAGAGAGATTAAAAACTCATTCTCACAGCTAGGCCATGTGGACTAAGAACATAGGGCTGAATTGAGGCATTCCTTGTGGGGAACTTGCCCAGGATAGTTTCCTGGAGTGAATGAGCCTCCGAGAACAATGAGCAGGTGGCAGGAAAGTGTGGCTGCTCTCCTCTCCAGGGACTCACTAATGAAAGGTATGCATAGGAAATCAAGATTTGAGCATAGCTGCATGAGCCATTCACAGAGCCAACATATGTGCTTGAATGGCTACCCCAGAGCTATCCAGAGTGGAGATTAGGATCTTCAGTACTCTGATATTATTGCCTGAGGCAGTTACATGGGAGTACTTCAGCACCAAACCATTCTTTGTGAGACATGGACAAACCTTACAGTACTGGGAAGTCCATGGGTTTGGGAAAGTGGCTGGGGAAAATGAAATACAGCTACAGAAATGAGGATGGGAGAAAAGGGCAGGCCTGGCAATCGAGAAGAAACTCCTAATTCACTATAATGAATATTGAGCAATCCTGAAATAAGATTTTCAAATTTTTGTCCTAAATTGGGCACATGCATCCTACTTTCCTACAGTGACAGTGATGCAGCCAGGCTTGGTGGCCTGAGATTGGATTTCAGCTATTTAATAGGCTCTGAATGGTTTGATCTGTTCGGTGACAAACTGGGACAATGCAGAGATATTCACTAAGCCATACAAGAGGCTGGGGAAGAATCCTCAGAGGTGACTGTTTTGTCTTGTCTATGCACACACCCCTTCCTGTGTCTGCCACTGCCTGGGACCAGGTGTGGAATGGGGGGGTTGGTTTGACCTGTGTGAGCTTTCCTGATGAATGTACTGAATGGAAACTTTCTATCATATGCCCTCACCAGGGAACTGTGCTCCTTGACTGGTTTAGATGTGGGCTGAGATGTTTATAGTTTTTACAGTTTTGGAAGCTCTTGTAACTTGACAAAAGGTTACTTCATGTTGAGGGACCAGCAGTCATTTTCATCTGCTGAAAAAATGACCATTACTTTTTAAAATTATGTTCCAACATAATTTTTTTGTTAGGTCACAAAAAATGTTTACAAAATGGTAGGGCAAAGAGTACGAATAGGAGATGATGAATTCCAGCACATTGCTGAAGAGAAATATTGACAAGATTGCTTGAAAGGAGAAATAATTTATTTCACTAGAAGTAAATACTGTCTGATCTTGAAAGGAGGTCAGACTGCTACAGTTCATCTGGTTTTTGTTAAACTGAAGAAAAAATTCGATTTATTGATTATTTCTATATGATCAATCACATCATATATTGTGGACATTGCTGTTTTGTTTCTGTCTGCTGTTTTCTTTAACTGCAACACTCGATTTTTTCAAATGGAGTTAAAATGACACAAGGGAATCATGGTGTGTAGGGGGAGGCAAGATATTTTCGCAGCTGAATTAAGTTGGAAAACCTGTTCAGTGGAAGATTCAGATGAGAATGCAAATACTCTGATCCGATATAGTAAATGCAGAAGGCACACATAATTAACTGAGGACATCCACTGAGAGGGAAGTGAGGGCTTAAAAACCTCTAGAAATGCATAGGAAATCAAACATGAATGAGGCCTCTGCCATGGTAGGTACCAACAAGATAACGAAAATCTAAAGAATAAATAGGAAACATATCTGGAAAATGTTAAGGTGGTGTAGCAGTGCTATTTAAAAAAACAAAACAAACAAACCATATTAAGTGAGCAAGACTTTGTTGCGCTTTAATTCTCAAACTAGATATATTGAAATCTAATGAAATTGTTTACTGTGTTTTTACAAAATACAGTTTTTGGTATAAGAGCACCAGTGACTAGATACATTTTTCAAAATGGGGCAGAACAGCTACCCACTTATAAATGTTGATAAATGTTTAGAGAGCCTGGTGTGGCACTGGATGCATGTCCAAGTTCCATGTATGGGATAGCAGACAGGCAGCTGTGCCAAGCAGCAGCACAGACCTCCTGCAGCCTGGCAGCTCTCTGCTGCTGCTGCCTCTGTGCATGAATTGATGCTGCTCCCTTCACTGCCTGCCTGCTGCTGTTGTGGTTCATCAGAAGCAGCACAGGACCCCTCTGGAAGAATGAAAAGGACTAGAAAGGACAACAGTGGTAAGACTGAGAAATAGAAGCAGATGGAGGTGAGGCAGTGACAAAAGTATGTAGAATATTTCAGCTTGAGGGTCAAAGTTGACATTTTGGTGAAGAGCACTAGTGACTGGTTACAAGTTATTTATATTGGGAAGCCTAGCTGAAACGCACTCTTGTCTTGAAAATCTCAGATAACTGCAATACCTGCTGCTGGGACAGGAACACATGGATAGACACGTGCTCCTCCACATCCATGAGTTATGGTGTGCTTAGGGAATAGCATGGAAACAGTGATGGGGTTAACTGTGGAGAGCTGCACTGCATGTGCTGGGATGGTTCCCCAGGAAAGTGCACTGTATGTGGCTTGGTGGCAGGCACAGCTTATGGAAGCACTGCAGATTGCAACCCTCCCACAGTGTGTGTCTGATTTAGTACTGCTTTAGTGCACACTGGACTCCTCCAGCCACACCATGAGGGGCGGCTCTGCACTGTGGCCTGCTTGCAAAACTTTACTATAAAAATGTACACTTCTAAGTCTATAATGCCTCTGTGCAGTGTGGATGGGATACCTCTTGAATGATTTCTTGACCCTTTGAACATCAACATAAATGATGAAAAGAATTTTGAAGAACAAGGTAAATATTTATAAACTTGTGCTATAAATGGTCTTGTGCTATCAATGGTCCTGTAATTTCTCTCACCCTCAAGACCTTACTTCCATGCATGTGATAAGTGACTCAGCCTGGATTTTGGATTTTTTAGATAAGATGTCTAAACAGAGGTTAGAACAAGAGGCGTTGGAAACTCTGAGATTCTTATGTTAAATTAGTGTTGTTAACCAGTGAGTTTTGTAGGCAAGAGTCATCTTAATATTGTTCTCTTTTATCACTACTCTTTGTAAGTGGATATAGCCCCTTGAGAAAATCCAACAAGGGAAAAAAGCAGTACACATGCTGAAACCAGTGCAATGAAACAATAAATTGGTGTAAATATGAACAGAATCAGAACTAGAAGGCCAATTGCTATTGCTGAACTTTTTTTACTCTTAAGATTAAAAAGCCCCACAGTCTCTTTCTTTAAGAAAGACAGGTAAAGATTTTGGGTTTGAGGTATTTGTACTGAAAGAAAGAACATTCAAATTTTGCAACTCTGATGACACCTGTCCAGATTTCCAGGACTGAGACAACTCATCTGGGAAACATTCTCTGTGGTATGTTGCAGCCCATGTCAAGTTCTTTGTGTCTTACCCACTCTTTACAAAGTCAACAGCATTCCTAGCTCCGAGCCTGTTGCCATCAGGTCTGCATTTCTCCTACCTGTTTGTGAGGATAGACATTAATGTGGCACTTGATACATTCTTGTCCCATGTTAGCCCAGGAGTTTCCACTCATCCATTTTCTCTTGCATTTGGGGCACTTATATTCACCAAAGCAGCGTTTCTTGCCCTGGTATGGTGTCAGGCCTTCTCCTTTTGGACGAGCCTACAAAACAAAGGGAAATAGCAATGAATGACTGAAAATGGGTGGGTGTGGGTGTGTGTAGTAGAGAAATAAACATTTTTAAAATTAGGAAACTTTGGATAGAAGATACTGGAGGCAAGTATGAAGGACATGTCCATTTAATGAAGAGTTCATATGTTGAAGCTAGAGTTTAACAGTTCTGAGAGTGGTTTCTCTAAGAAGTATGCAAAAGTTCAACAAAACATAATACTTGTTAGTGACACTGAGTGTTTGGAAATATACCCTTTCACTTTTTGAATAAAATTTTTTTATATTAGTTTCATTATGATAAAATCATCTCTATTGAGTATCTATCACTAGCAATATATATGTCATCAGGGGGAGTAGCTCATTAGTAATAAAGTACTACTTTTTTACTAGAAATTCCAGTGTAGAAATCTAGTCTATTTTCCACTAAAAACCTGTAGTTAAGAAGACTTCTAATACTTCTGCTTTTCACAGCCTATATGTTATCATATGGGAGTGCACAAACTAGGATTGAGTAAGAAGGAAAGACACTCTGATTAGTGGAAATAATAACTTTTATTAGCTTTATCTGGTTTCTGGCTCTTGGTAAATGGTTTCACTATTTCTGCCTTTTGAAGGAAACAGGAAAGGATTCTCAAATGGTGTGCTGTGATGTCTGAATGGTAAATGTCCCTTAAAGAAAGCCTTTTGATCTAGGGAAGCCAGTCGAGTTGACAATGACCGTACGCAAATACCAGGTTTATTTTTTGTACATGCATTCACTCGCTAAAACTTCACTAAAAGTGTGTTGTGCTTAACAAAATATGGTGATGTATGTGGAGATGAGGGTGCTACATCCAGCTGTGCTAGGATAGCTGTAAAGATGAAGCTGTTTTCCCAGAGTCCCTAGCAGGTGTGGAAACACTGTCCATGTCACTGTGTTCAGTTTGTTGCTGCCTAGAGGGAGATACTTTGCCTCTACAGTGGCAGTGCACTATGATCACCAAGCAAAGGGTTCCTTGTCACTTACTTCCATGTCAGGCGTAAGCAGCTTTTCTTTTTTAAGGCTTCCAGATAAAGTTTACAAAAGTGAAGTGAGCCATCATGCTGGGAAGGCATTTGTTTTTGTTTTGGGAGTTTGTACGATTTCTCAGTGTGTAGGTCCAAATTGCTTTCTATGAGAAAACAAGGGTTGCACAAGCAGGTGGTTGGCAGAAGACCTGAGCTTGGCAGGAGCTCTGAGACTCGGGCTCCAGTGGCTGATGGAGATGGTGAACACTGTGTTACCTCCTGGGTCGCATGTGGGAGCGAGAAGGGAAAGGAACATTGAGTGTGCTCTCCCCCGCATGCTGTGGGTGGAAGAGCCGGGGACACCAAACCTACTCCAGCCCTTTTTTTCTTCCTGTAGTGTCAGTAAACAACATTCTCTGGGTTTTTTTCTGCTTATTCCTCAGCATAGCAATATTCTTTAGAAGATTGTATCAGTAGCAACCTCCATTACAAAAAGGCAAACTTCTATAGTAATTTGCTTCTGACAAGCCACTCTAAATATTCGGGCTGACAACAAAGATAAAGCTGACCAGGACACACATATTTACAGTAGTATAGCACAGAGGAAAAAATAATGCATTGATATAGTGAGAAACATTCAGACTGAGTGCTGGCAGGCACTCAGAGTGTAGCTCTCCGACCCGTGGTGTCCCTTGATAAGAATGAGAGATTGCAACTGAATGTAGTGCAGGAAAATGTCAATTTATGGAGACAGCCTTATTGTGGATACTTAATTTGGTTCTGCCTCTGAGGAGCTCATAGCACAACTCAGTGTAAGAACCAGCCACTTGCTCTCTTCATTTAGAAATTCTTATGGAATTGAACAGAAAATGTGTCCAGAGAGCTCCTGTGTTTTAGAGACCTGCCCTCTCCTCCTGAGGCATCACAGATTGTTTTATTTGCAGTTTCTAGGGAAGGGGGGGGGGTTGTTATTGAATGGAAGACGCATTATTTTTGATTCTCTGATTAAGTCACCCTCTGCGTGAACTCCTCCTGCAGCCAGACTTGAAAATGCAGCTCAGTGCCCCTACCAAGCAGTGGTCCTTTCAGAAAATGTGCAGTTCATAGGGTTCATTATTTCCAAAAGAAATAGCACTGACTTTGGAGACAGAGTACATCTTGGAAGTCTTGTAAATGTTTACAAAGAGTATTTGAACATAACACTCCCACAGTAATATGTTATGTCAGTCCTAAGGAGCATTTAAACATCAGACTCCCACAGCAATATGCTGTGCCAGCCACATTTCCCAGATGGGAAACTTTCAGAGACGGCCACTTGGGCGGGCCAGTGACTGTGGCTTTGTCCAGGTCACGTGCGTGACTTCAGAGACACCAGTGCCCTGAAACTCTGCCCTCACAAATGCACAGGGAGCACTGAAGATACTGATCTGTGGAGTCCTCTGTGCGTACAGCTAGGCACCAGAAATGGAGGCTTTTAATCCAGATTAAAAGCTACTTCTAAAATCTGGTTTCTCCAATTTTCTTGGTAAATGGGAAGCAGAACCAGGAAAAGAATGTAGGAGGCCTGACTCTGTTGGTTATTTCCTGTTATAATTACTAGACTAAACTTTTGGTTTATTTTTATTGTAACTTTTTGACTGTCACAGCTCCCTCCTCAGTCAGTGACTCTAATTAGTTTGTTGGCAAAGTTACAACACTCTCTGTAGGTGTTTTGTCATTCTGCTTTATGGATGTTTACACATTTCCCTAATAGATATTATTTTCCTTCCCATATCTTCAGTTTCCCAAGCTGTGCCCCACAGGGAATTTAGACTTACAAACAAGCAAGCTCATTTTCTCTAGTGGGAAACATCATTAGGAACCACTGACAGCAGTGAAGGCAAGTCTCCAACTCCCTCCACCCTGCAGAACCAAGCAAAACAGGTATTTGACAGCATTTGGTAGAAGGCAAAATCTGAGTGTGATACTCTAATGGCCTGGGAGATCTGAGGCTGGGTATTCTGGTTTGTTTGTTGTTGGGGTTTTTTTTGTAGCTGTTGGTTTTTTTTTTTTTTTCTTGATTTTTTTTTTTTTTAATTCAAAGTGTCTGGCTCCAGCAGGAGCACAGCTGAATTGCATAAACATTTCCAAGAAACAGCCTGCTCCTTGGCACAGAAGCAGCCAGCCCTGCCCACAGGGTGCTCGAGCACCCGGTCACTCTGCAGCTGAGGTATCAGTGCTCATTCAGCTGGAGGGCAAGAACTATTTTCACCAGAGGTTTTTTCCTAACTAAATGCCAAAAGAGAGCAAGAAGACACTTTGTGTCGTTTTGTATTAACCTAAAAATCTTTACTTTACAGTAAAAGTACTCTCCTATTCTCTCTCCAGCCCAGCTCCATTTGAATGGTGGTTAATAATAGGCTTTGGTTGACGTTTAGATCCTGCAATTCCTGTACTGAGCATTCTCTTCTTACTCTGTTTGCAGACAGGGATTTATTTATGTGCAAAGTTAATCTGGAAAGTTATGCTCCTTTTCATAATGGTACAATATTTTGTTGTTACCATATTAAAATACACTGTCCCATTGCTTGTAGGCCCAGGTAAATCTTTGACCTGGTTTCAATCCTTGACTGCAAAAACTTGGTATGTCTGCATTCAGATGTTTCAAGGATTTACTGCATCCTGGACAGGATCAAATCCAAACAGATATTGCTATGAAGACCAGAAACTAGACATTGCATGAAGTATGTCTCAATGTCAAGATGCAGGTATTAGGGAGTTTTGTGATGTTTTGATTTGGACAAGCACTGACACAACTGCCATCACCTTTGCAGGTGTACCTAGTCAGTGTGTGTGTTTGCCTTGGCTGGAAATAACCAGTGTACAAAGCCAGTGAATTTTGTGTGGCACAGTAACAAAAATTACCTCAATATTCCATCCCTCACTGACACCCAGCTGTCTCTATTTTTCATCTTCTTTCTTTCTTGAGCCAAAACCACAAATTTGCCATCATAAGATTTTAAAAGTGTTTAAGTTGAGTTTTTCTGCTGGTAACTGGCCAGTCCAGCGCTCTGTCAACCTATCAGAGAGTGCATCTCTTGAGGGATCTGCCAAATCACTCAGCAATGACGTACATAATAAAGGACTCTCTGCTTTCCCTAAACAATTCCCTCAAAGTATCAGTTTGCAGAGTCAGCAAAAACAAAACATGCCCCTCTCCCCCAACATGCCCCGCTTAAAACTAGATTCATTATAAACAACATGAGGCTGAGTTTCCTCAAAGCAAAATGCAGAGACACAATTGAATGTTTTTCTTCCACTCATCTCCCCCCAAGTTTGTTTTACACAGCTGAAAGGGCTCTGTACAGCACAGGAAAAGATGAAATCAGCTTAACATTGGTAGGTGGATCCCCTTCACAGGACAACTCTGAGGGTCTGTTTGTAAGCATGCTTTATCAAATGAACAGAAAAGGGTAATAGCAAACAACAGCTTGATGCACTGACTGGCTTCTAAGTGGTTTGTGGGAGTGGGAGGGTCAGAGATCTGTTTTGAAATGTGAACACTCCAACACTCTCAACTGAAAGTCAGCACAAGGGATATGGCATTAAAAATGCCCTATTACTGTTATTGTGTACTGCTGTAGGTGCCTATCATATCTTTTAATAAAGAGATGATAATGCATCCCTAAGAGGTTCAATTAGAAAATTAAAAGTATAAGGACTGATTCAGTGTACTGGGTGTTGTGGCATTCTAGTCCTGAGGCTGCAGCAAGTTGCACAGTGTTGGGAAATTCACAGAAGTGCTCTGACCTGTCTCAGCTCTGTGCATACTGTGTAAAGAATGAGGACACACTTGCACACTTATGCTGAAATGGCACATAAAAGGGAATCTTTGGATTGGTCAACTTTTTTTTTTCCTTTTTCCTGCCTCACTTTTGTGCTCATCTAAAATCTTGAGTGTCAGCAGAATACAGAGGCAGATAGGTGATGTGTTTAGGAATGACACTGCTGAGGTCTGACACCAA